GTGATCAAGTTTTCTACGGTAATTTCTTTCTGTTGCAATTTATTCATAGGAATGTGTTCCATCTCTTCACAATCGCAATATGAGCTCAGAATGAATGAGACATGAATCGTGGATAATGAGAGATTGAAAGCGATATTTTTTTCGTGCTTTTTCTCGCTGTAATTTTTATCAGTCTGTGCAAGCAGTTGCCTATGTTAGCCTGCGTTAAGCTGTATGAACTGAAAATAAGTTGCAATACTCAACGAAATAATGACAAATTGATTGATTTTAAATAATATTTTGGATGAAGAAAATTTTAATTTCAGTGGACGATCGAACTCCGCGATCGAAATCCGGTGGTGATGATATACGAGTAGCCGTGCTCGAACAGCGAGTTCGTGAACTCGAAACTGCGATGATTGGTGGCATGCAGTCACCATCCACTTCAGCGGCATCTGCCTCGTTCATGATACCGGTCGTTGGAACGAAAGGTTCTGAAAGTTACTGTTGAATTGATTGTAATCGTATCTGTTCAGATGCATGATTCTAATGCAGAAGCTGTAGAACATTCATACGTTCCTCATATTGCGGCTGAATGTGAAGTTTAGAGCACTTTTCCACTGAACTGCGGTCATCTGTTTGAAATGCCGTTAATCATCCCTATGACTGATCTATTACCCAGCGTTAAGAGCCGATGATTGTGTAACAATAGCAAAGGAACATTCATCATCGGTATTTAATCTTGCAAGGGTGCAAATCGCTTTCATTTGAACGTGTTCACATTGGATGGAGAGAATTTATGAATTTGATTGAGGTTATGCAAATAGAACCTTAGGAACCATTGAAAATGATTGTACTGTTCGGAGGATGTGATTCGATGCGGTTGTTGTCTCCACTTATTTTATTGGTACTCAATTTAACACAAGCATTTGCAGGTGGACGAATGTTGACACAGTCATCAGGACAGTTGCTCGTAACTCCGTCAGGATTATCTTCAACTCAGCAGCTGATGGCCAAAGAGATTGTCGATAAAGAAGTGGAAATAGAACGGTTCCTTCTTCATTCAATTTTTTCATCCTCTGTTCTGGAATTTGTGATATCTATGTTATTCTTTAGATAATGTCTATATGAGTGGGTACAAAGCAGTATAAATTGATATTGAGTTTGCTTTTTACATTCTTCCAAGGCGTCAATTCCCATTGATTTTTCATCGTTTGCGTATTATTGCCCTCATTAATATTTTCAGTGAACCTTTGTCATAGACTGAAATGTTTACAAATTCAGATTACAATCCCAACTGCGAAAATGTTATTCACGAATGGAGTTGCGTCAAGTACAATACGATGAAGAGGTGAGTCATCTTTAACAGTTATGTGATGCATTCCAAACATTTGGATGAAAATTTTTAATGTAATTTTATGAATTTCTTATAAATTGGTTTGATTTGTTCAGGTGAACGCTTTTCGACGCGAATCAGACGAAGCGAAAGCGCAATTGGCGAGAGTGAAATCAAGGTTGAACGAACTCGAGAACGAATGTAGTGTATATAGAGAGAAGGCGAGTGCTGTCGAAGCGGCTCGCACATCCACAATGACAAGTTCACTCGAGAAAATCGCTTCACAGGTATGGTTTTCGTTTGTTTACGAACTTCTTTGATCGCTTCAGTTTCATTTTCCATTTCCTTATTTTCATGTTCGAATTGTTTGCTTGGTACATTACCCATTGTTCAGTCGTTAAGGTGCTGAACTCTTTTTGAAATCATTCGTGTATTGCATAAGAGAAAGAGAATCACTCGATATCTCGTGGTAGCGTTTTAATCCCATTGCGTGAAAGCAGTACGTTGGTTCATGAACAAGTTTCAGGAGAAGGAAATTGCAACGTTACGCGCTGAACTCGAGAAGATGTCACAGCTGACGACACAAATTGAGAAGGCGAAAGAAGAGCTGGAGTTTTTGGAGTTGCAAAATGACGCGTTGAGTACGGCGATCGATGCAAAGGACAATACGATACGCGAACTTGAAGATTCGTTTATTGTTAGTAGCTTCTCGAATTTTTTTCCCGTCATATCCTTCATAGTCCCTTGCAAATATATCTTTCTTCAACGTACCGTTCATTACAAGGGATTTTTGAGGTAACTTGTTCGGAGCAATATCCAGTGATGATCTTGCAAAATATTTGCTGAGATCGCTCGCTTGCTCAGTATTTTGTGAATTCAATAGTATTTATTGAAAAGTAATCTGAGATAATTTAAATATTGTGGAAGGTGGCCGAGTCATTTGTTGTTGTTGATTATAGACGATGAAAGCGGATACATCAGGCAAGTCGCAACAGAAGAGTGGTTCGGTTACGCCTCGAGGTGATGGCGTCTCGTTGTTCGGTGCGCAGACATCCTATTTTAATCGTGACTTAAGTGATCTCAAGCAAATCAATGACACTTCCGTAAGTATATTTTTTGCAGTTCATATACTTCTGGAGATGAAGTGATTCCGACGAGAACACTCAATTATCATCAAAAAAATTATCCTTAAGGTTTTTCCTTTTTTCCTCCAATCTGGCTAGGTTGGTGATGAAAGCATCGAAATGTTCTGATATGAGTATGTGAGAGACGGAAATTTGGAAAAGCGTAACAAATTGATATATTTTATGCAGCGTCGTTCACTCTTGGCATTTTTTAATTTGTTATTCCACATCTAAGATAAGAAAATGGTCGTAACGCTTCTTTTGTCTTTTTCAGAAAATCGGTGTGTCGCTGACAGATTTACCCTTAGGCGTACCGAAATCACGTTCCACCAATCAGATTGGCGTGAACGCTGCCTCGTCAGCCATCTCAGATCAAGAGCAATTGCCCGCTCGTACCTCACAAATGATCCGTAAACAGCTTGCGGCTGTGTTGGAGTGTCGTTTGTTGGCGAAATGCTTGAAGGATATCGCCTCAAAAGCGATCTCTGGTGATGCGCCCAGTGTCAATCGATTGCTCGGTTGTAAAAGTTCGTCTGAATTTGTTCTGTTTTGAAGAAGAAAGTTCCAAATTTTGTCACGGAACTGAAAGTGATACGAAAATGAATGATGATAGATAGTGTCACCGTTATGGTGTTTTTCAGTTGAGAGTTTTGCATTCTGCTCAAATTTCTAAACTCAAATTTCCATACGTCGTTTATGTGTGCACATGAAATTTATATCTCACATTTTTCGGAAAACATTTTGAATTGAACCACACATTGAATCATTGAAATCGATCGGCTTCGTCGCTGGGGATTTAGACTAGTTTTATCAGTTTTTTTAACTCGAATTCAGATAAATTCGTTGAATTTGTCCGTTTGGGAAAAGAATAGCGGTGAAATCTTCAATGATGCAAGTAACTTTTGAACAATTCAGGTGATTCAATGTCTGAATCGGAACCGGAACCACTCGTGATTGATCCGAATCCGATGACGTTGAATTCGGCGGAGCGTTATTTGAAGAAGGGTGCAGAAGATATGGTCCGTCTCGAGAAAGATCTCAACGCGTTGCGTGAGAAATTCGTCGAATATTATCAGAAGAAGGTTGCAGATGAGCTGAGAGAAGATGAAGCATGCAAAATTCAGTAGAATGTTGTGCTAACTTTTAACGCTGATCGATGTGATCCCATATCCCCGTGACGATCAAGCGGATAGTGTAAATATTGCCTCTCAAAAATTGTCTCGTGCAGTGAAAAACGACTGTTCTTTCCATTTGACTCAATTGTGAGAAGTTGAAATTTGTAGAAGATTCTCAACAATTTGGAAGTATTGCCTCGAAATGCTCATCTCTTTTCTTGCCTTTTTTGCGGTCATTCTTATTTCATGTCGATACGATGGAGTGTTTTCGTAAAACGCCGTGCACAACCGATCAAATTCTCTTGTTTTCCGACCATATGAGATGGGATATTAGCATTATCTATTGTTGCTTTGTTAATCGGGAACTGTATTCGTAATATGAATGTGCCTCCGTTATTTTTGAAGATGTTCTCTGTTTTTTGTTTTGTTTTTTCGAACTAATTGCCTTTCGCGTGCTTCTCCTCTCATTGGAATCAATTTTTTGATTGTTCATATAAAATCGAAAATGTTCGCATTAGTACAATAGTTTTGTTTTCGTTATTATCCAATAACATTTCAATTAGTCGACTTCATTGTGTTCACCACCGTTCGTTCACTTCATACTTCAATGTTAGTATATGCATAGTTCTATTGGTATTATTTGTTTTTTGTCGATTAAGGTTCAGAAAGCGAATAAGTTAGGTAGGAATTCCTGAATTTGTGAACAATTTGTTGAGTTCCATCTTCAGTAACCGTAGGGGAATGTTTTTTACGAGCACATGTCAGTTTCAGTGTAAAGGAACATCTTATCTTCCTTGTTCCAGATTCTAAAAAATTTCCAGTTAGCTTGGGTACTTGAAAAAAAATTGATCGAATTTCCTCATGATCTGAAACTCTATCACAAGTTCTATTCTTCATCATGACTGATAACTATGGAATTTATTTGTTCTTCAACGAGATTCTACATTCTCCTTGCACATTTGTAACTAGCCTTGTTATCCATATACATACTCATAATTATTGCTATTGTCACTAATATGAATCTTTAAGATGCTGAATTTATGATTATTTCAATCAACATTATCGCGATTCTGTTCATTGTTACCGTTTTGTTGTGTTCAACACGCGGGTTATGTGGTTCCTTTATATTATATCTTTATTGCAGGCCTGTATGCATTGCCGTAGATTAGTGGATAATACATTGTGGTTGTTTAGCTCTTTTAATCAGTTCTCATTGTTAGTCAATAATCTCATTGTAACAATCGCCTGATTTGCATTTTCTTCATTTTACATCTCATCCGTACTCGTTTGATTTTATTCAATGTCAAGAATTCTTATTGTATAGTACGAAATTAGGCAAGCAGAACTAACTTTCCACCATATTCATAACCTAAATCGATCTCAGTTCGAAATCTTTTCATCTTCACATGATTTTATGGTTATCAGATAATTGATCTTATTGTGCAAAAGTTTGAATATCTGAAATTGCCAGCAAAAACTGTTTTAACTGATACATTCAAGGCTCATATTGATACACGCACCCAAAAAAATTGTCTGCTCACCTTACAATATGCAAAAAAACTGTTGATACGTAAAATTATTTAACTTAAGATGAACTAAACATCTTGGCAGAAGTTAGGTTGATTTTAGTGTTATTGTTTTGTTCCATCAAATCTGATTTTCAATGATGTTACTA